TTAATATATATATATATATATATATATATAATCATTGTGCAATCCATATTTTCAATAGCAGCCCATAAAGAGGGCACACAACCTGCAGAGACATGTTAGAATATAAATTATAACCCTTGATCCTCATAACAACTTTGGAGTTTTGGTGTAGTGTGGCAAAGTCCTTTGACACTAGTGACTTACCATTCAATTGACAAATGTCATGGAAATTTGGTAGATTTTTTTAGAAAGATTTCTCGACTTATACAAAACCCAAACTTGGTGGAACAACTCTAGTTAATGACAATGATGATGGTGATGGTAGGAAGATACCTTATTTATCAATCTTTAGAGCAATGTGAACCACTAGAACAAAAGAAGGTGAAAGTGGAAGTAGCCGCATCGAAAGTAAATACAATTTTCACCTAGCGAGATATTTTAGCATAAGGATGATGACATTGTTGATTGCGTCTTTTCCATGTCTATGAAGTAGAAGCACTGGACTTAGATGGTTGAGAATGTATGGGCGCTACTGATGAAAGTGACTGAAAAAACACTTCTTTGGAGTTGTGAGAGATATCGTTTTGTCATTAACAGTGACCATCAGTCCTTCATTATCAATCCGAGTACTTTATCATGAATTGTCCTTCGTATAGTCTCAACCAAGCATAGATCCCACGCATATGTATATAAAAAGGGGAAAAGAGTTGTTGTCAAAAAAAATTATGTTTTAGATAACTTAATTATCTTGCTAGGAAAATCGTTTTTTTAATATAGTATCTAATTTTATTATCGAGTAAATTGTTTCCTTCTTTTCTAAACTTCTAAATTATCAGAAATTGGACTTTGCCATTGACCCTTAATAATTAGAGAGAATAGGTCAATATTTTTAGAATCAAATTACTATTTAAAGTCATAAAATCAAGCGAATTTAAGCTTGAATTTAAACACCTAGTTCATCGATTTACACATCTAGCCTTTTTGCACTATATTGTACCAGAGCAGATTACTTTTGCTATTCATATCTGCTAATAGTGGGAGAAGAAACATTCTAGCCGCACATCAGTAATTGACGGGAAACATCTATGAAGGCCTTGCATGGCTATTGATAGGAAAATTCAATGAGAGCATTAGAGAAGTAGCCTAATTAGGCAAACTGTGCAAACTTAAGGGTCAGTTTGCAACCACACTAAATCAAATTTAGTGAGATCAATTTTGATTCCGCTAGATTGGATAAACTTGTATTGACCTTCGCATCTTGTTAATGCCACTAGATAAGATGAAGCCTGAGTCTATATACATAGACTAACAACAGTTACCTATAAGTTTTATTTTATTTGCAACCTATAAGTTCTATTTTATTTGCAGACCATATTTTTGAAAAATAAATTATTTATTTGACTCGAGTTTGATTGAAATAAGTCTAAAATTTAACTGAAATCAAGTGGGTTGGATTTGAACTGAAACGGATTGAGTTTGAAATGGTTTAAGACCCAACTGACTCTGGTGGAAGTTTAAAGACCCAAACAGGTCTGTCAGAAAAATCCTGACACAATTGGGTCTGTGGACTTGAATCCGGATACAAACATGTCTGGTGAGGGTATAGGGCTGCAATAAATAATCACTTAGCTTTCAACATTGCACGAAGGTGGGGTTTTTTTGGGGGGGGAGTGGGAGGGGGATAAAATAATGATATAACTATGGAACCTATTGCAGCAAGGAAAATACTAACCATACTACAATTTCTATACTACTTCTGTACTACTACTAACAAATGTGTGGGTCCTTCCTTGGGAATTGTTGCAAAAAGTGGTGAGCAAACATGGTTGATTGTGGGAATACAAAAGTAGTAGGAAATTGTAGTATAGTTATCACTACTCTTGCAGCAAACTCCTGGTGATAAGTAGCTAAATTGGAATTTGGAAAAGATTATCCAAAACCTAGTCTAGACACAACTCTTCTATTAAATCAAAAACTTGTTTGATTTTGACAAAGATCGAATATAATAACTTCTTGCATAGAGTATTAAAAGATAGTACTGAACTTTAGATTGAATAATAAATTGGATATACTGCTTACCTGAGCAGGAACAACTCTTTCAAGGCTTCAAACCCAGTAAAAGCATAACGTTTTCCTACTTTGGATGTTACCATGGCTGCATATGTTGGAAATATGCCTCAGTGCAATTTTATGGAAACATATAGTGCACAAAAGACGAGGCAAATAGTCTTGGAACTATTTAAAAACGAGTCAAACGAGAAGTATAACCGGTTAGATTTTTTCAAAATATTCAGAATAAAGATAAAATAAGCAAGAAACTAATCATCACTAACCCTCAGAATGTGATAAGTGATAAATTTAGCAGTACAAAAACACCATGCTTATTTTCCTCCTTCTGTAGACACATCACATGTGTCACACTGTCACATGTATAGGATGCTAAATACACATATTATAAAATTTCAAGATATTTAGGATTTGTTTCTTTGAGTTATCTCTTGAAAAGACAAAGGATTTTCAACTCTGCTGGGATTCAGTAAGTGACCATCATGTCAACATCAACAGTTTCAGTTCAGGGTAAAAAAAGAAACAGTGTCAACTTCCTTGATCCAGTATGCATGTTCTCATGTTTTTGGTTGTTACTTGACCTAAAATTCTTTGATAATACTATATAAACCTTCTCTGAAACAAATTGCATGCATTAATTTCTCATTCTCAATGTGGTACCAACCTTATCACAGATCTCCTCAATCATCCATATGTTGTCAAGAACGCTTCTTTCATAAATGGAAAACAAAGCATAAAACCAAGTCACGATACCAGCACAAGTGAAAAGGTAAATTCCTTTTAAAAATTATATAAACTATAACTATAACATCTGCTCCTAGCTATGTTACTCCAAAGTTCCTCATTTCTCAATCAAGCATAGGTTTATGGAGAATGCAACATAAGTTTATCCCTTAGAGATGACATTAGTCAAAGCATATTCAATAACGTTATTCTAATTCTCCAAATCATAGTTCCCTTCGGCACTTTTCACAATTAGCATGCACAGCTAAAACACTTTTCACACGTTATATCCAATGAATAAGATTAGTATTCTTTTGGAGAGGCCTTTCCTACAAATATAGCTATTTGTAGAATAGCTTGATAGATTTATGGCTTTCCAAAAAATGAAGTCAATTTGCTATCGTTATTTTGTATGTGATCCGTGTACACCAAGCGAACCTCAGGACATGCTAACAGCTGAATTTGTTATATCAAGTAATGAGCAGCATTGAGCATATACATTCCAGTGTATACCTGAGAACTTTAATACTCCATATGTGATGTGTGCACAGAGATACACAAGTCAGGGAAAGTGTGGATGAATATCAATGAAATGCAAAATTTTGAAATTTAGAACTTGTTGGATCCACTTTTCTAAAATCTATCTCCAGATATACTTCAGCATATGTAGCTCATATCTGCATACTTATATGAAGACAACATATGGTTTCTTTCGGGTCACATCTTAATCTAGAATGTTCCCTTGCATTCCACATGTAGCTGAGAATTGAATACTATAATACAAGGTGAATCTGGTTTTATGCACTCTTTTGAAACTTGTTGTATCTCTGGAGTCATGCACTGTTTTGTTTCCTTCTCCACTGTCGGTGTTTTTGACTTATGCAGAGATGCCCTAACAAAATGTTGTTCAATTAGCACTACACCAAGATTGTATTTATTCAATGCCTCGAATTTAGTCCTAGTAACCCACCGATGCTACTTTCTTTCTCAAAGATACAATAACAAAAAGGCAGCTTATGTAAATGATTTCATAGGTTCAAATTCCAACAAAGCAAGATTTCTCTTATCTAAGTAGAGTTATGCATTCACAATAATTTTGGCAAAGATTCCATCTTTCTCACTTCATTTACCTACAAACTTACCTAATAGCGCATCGAGTGACCTCAGGTTAGCGATCGGATTGTCCTCCACCAAGCAAGTGAACGCAGAGACTTTATCCGCGGACGTCCCCGACCTTGTGGTCATCTCCAGCAACTTCATATCTCCACTCTTCTTCCTCGCCACCTCATACTCCTTTGTGTACTGCTCCATCAACCTCTCTCCCAACTCCTTCTTCTTCGCAACCAAAGCCTTCAGCTCCTCAACCCCCTTCACATTCGCAACCTTCTTCCTCCCCTCTTTCCCCAAAACCTTCACCTCAAGCTCATCAGCATCGACATACCATTGCCCCGACAAAGAGCTCGCCTTCACCAAAGACAGGCTCGGCAGATTGCTCTTAGACTGGGAAAGAGGAGGGAAGGGATCGACTTGTAGAGGATGGGACTTGGATTTAGACTGAGGTTTCGGATTGGAGTTAGGGTTAGGGTTAGGTTTCGTTTCTAGGGTTTTGGGTTGAGGTTTAGGGTTTTTGGGGGGTTTTAAGGGGCCAGACTTGAGGAAGTCGGAGTCGTCGAAGCCGGAGGAGGAGGAGAGGTGAGAGGGAGCGAGGCCGAGTGAGGAGGCGAAGGAGGCGACCTCGGATTTGAGAGCGGCGACTTCCTCCGGCGTCGGTTTCTTTGCTTTATTAGGGTTCGCCATTATTTCGGCGTCAAAAACTGATAGTTTTGCCAGGAAGCGAAGAGGGACTGTGAGGGGTTTTGTTTAAGGATTTTATTAGAAGAAATTTTCTAAATAAACCCATTTTTTTTTAAATCAATCCTCTTCTGTTTTTATTATAAAAAACAACTCACTTTTTGGTCACATCAACACCTTGGCAAGAAAATTGGTCGATTTTTTTAAACATGATGCTAAATAATCGGGGTTGGCAACCCCGACTATTTTGGAGGTCACTGTTAATTTACATGCTAAATTAGTCGGGGTTCAAAACTCCGACTAATTTAGCACCCCCGACTAATTTAGCACACGTTTAAATTTGTCGGGGTTCCCAACCCCGACCATTTAGCAGAGCCTTTTAGCCTAAGCGAGAACCCAAGCAACAATTGGTCAGGGTTGGGAACCCCGGCCATTTTGTGCACAGCGTGCACGAAATAGTCAAGGTTCACAACCCTTATTATTTGGCAGAGATCCTCCAGCCCACACTCAGCTAGAAAATCTCACTCCTGTTAATACATATCAATCCACAAGTTAACACCAACTCTTGGTTCACATTTATCAATTCACAATGCAATCGAAAACACAAATAAAGACATATCTTGTCAAACTCAAATAAACACATACTGATCCATAATCAGTTGCACCCCCGAATTCAATTCACTTACTAAAAATCCATAATCAATCAAATATGTAACATTCAAACATAACTTAGAATAATTTCAAACATAAACATTCTATCAAGTATATTAAAATTTAACAAATATTTACAACTCCCTTTCCTCTCCCTCTTCTTCCTCTTCCTCTCCCTCTTCACCGTTCACCTTCGACATGAGCTCAGATGACATCCTCGTCCGATTGTGTGTGAACTTGGGAGCACATGACATCCTCGTCGACTTGAACCGGCTGTGAACATCCGGCTTGAGTCTGCTGTAAGCCGCCAGCTTCATAATGTGCACAACTTGAGCCTGCTCCCATGTATCCTTGGAACCGTCGACAGTCGTACTCAATTAATCACTCCTCACGTCCATCACACATCGCATTACGCGCTCTCTTAAGAGCAGACTGGATCTTTTTTATGATGCGAAGGAACGCTTCCTCGCCCCTGGCTCGATAGTCGTTCTCAACGCATCATGTGCAATAGTAGCAACCTCATCGAGCTCTTGTACCTATAAGATAAAAACCGAAAGAAAATTATTATCAAGTGGATGATAACAAAATAATTGTACATTTTTCCTATACACTTACAAACTCTCTCTCAGCTGGGCCTCTTGGTATGTACTTCTTAGGGGCTTTGTTCTCCTGAAATATCCATCGGTGAGTAATCCCCCAATACCACCACAAGTACACACCTAGGTCAGGTACGTCAACCCTCTCCATCACTACTTGTTCCTCTCTCAACTCCCACCTCTGGATCTAAGCATGGAGAATTAATTCCCAATTTGCATGATATGCATCTTTTCTGGGATTTTGCTCTATTTTTTCTACAGGGTCTGGAATATGTTGTTGTAGTCCAAATTGTTGGAGCACACGGTTGAGCACGTGCATTTTGACGATCTCAAAACAAATAATCGGGACGCGAGCATGCCATATATCCTCACCTTCACTACAAATATCAGGTAGTGACTCCAAAGCTAGTTCATAGGGCATCCACTTGACCTATAAAGAAGATTAAGTAAAGTTACATATCAGTAACAAACGATATATTGATTGAATATATTTAGATATTATGATTTAATACATGTTCATCCTCCATTTGATCGAGTTCATTGCTGTAGAAGTTTTCATGGCCCTTTGGGGAGGTTTGCTAAGATCTGCACATATTCCATCTATTTTATATACAATGGGTTAGTATAGATTAAAATAAATGTACTAAATTATATGCAATCATATCTATTACAAAATAACTTAGTAATACATGCATCCTAATGGAATCTGGTCATCGAGAGCACGAGTCTCCCTCAAATTTGGGCACCCCAAATGCAATCTCTCCCATGACCATATCTGCAGCAAAGTGGGGCAACCCTTGAATTCTTTGTTTTGCACAAGTACCACTTTGATCATCTCCTTATATAGATAAGCTAACACGACACTCCCTCATGATAACTCTCCATACTCCTCAAGATCCTCAAGGAGTGACAACCATCTCACATGCACCGAGTCCTTAGTGGAATTCGGAAATAGAATAGTTACGATCATATGAAGTATATATGCACGGGCATAGCTCATGATGATCTCATCGGTTACATCGATTGGTACATTCATATAATTATTTCTTAATCATTCGAGTTTGATCTTACCACCCTTCATAGTAGGAGCTTGACCCAGCAATTCTTCACACTTTCCTACCCAGTTAAAGTCAGCGGTACCCGTGACAGCATCTTTATCCACTTTGAGGCCAAGTAAAACCCCAACATCATGCAATGTAATCGTCGATTCTCCTTGGCGCAGGTGGAATGTAATTGTCTTGGGCCTCCATTGTTCAATCAATGCCGTCAAGAGAGCCCAATCAAGTCTCACCCATTTAATTTGTGAACACTCAAAAAAGCCTGCTTGACGAGCATAAAAGTGGACATGTGGATCCGTCAAATCCCACCTCGAATGTGCATGAGTATGATCAACTATAGTAATACTCGGAGCCTACATATATTAAACAGTACAAAATGTTCAGTAACTATAGTACAACTTAGAAAAAGTGTCTTATAAATGAAAAATAAAAAATACAATTTATCTTCGCGGATCGGTGTCGATCTTGGTTATAAAGGACATCATATGTCAATGGACCCGCCTCCATACTGTAAATATTTGCACATATGATGATAAAATATGTTAGTGTAATGACGTTTGCTAAATTAAAAGTAGAATAAACTTACAAATTTCATATATAAGCATTGATTTATAAATGAAGTAGAATAAAATTAAAAATTAAGTAAATTCTTATAAATGAAATATGTGGCAACTTTTCAATAAACAATTCTTCTGTAGGGTTGAATATTTGGCACGAACTATGTGACAACTTTTCAATAAACAATTTTACTGTTGGTTACGACTTGCTCAAATTAAACATAATACTTATATGATGATTGTTTGAGATCTCAACTGCGGATGTTCTATCAAAAGTTATGGACAAATTGCATAATATTTTTAGTCAATACTCTCGTGAGTCAATTGCCGTAATTCAGTGTACTTCATTAACCAAGTCACAATAACTATATGATTCCGAGATCATTAACGACACCCCCTCCGACGTACGTTGGCATATTATTCATTTTATAATTAATTTTCCCACCAAAAGAACAAACAATAAAAATCATATTGTTCAACCTATGCAAAAAGAATTATCATTTAAATGCAAAAAAAATTAAAAAAATATTAACAATTACAACCCTAAACCCTCAAATCTTAAACCCTAGATTTGAATATTCTATGTCCTAAATGTTTAATTTCAGCTACAACAATAATAAATTTTCTAAATAAATCACTACAAATAGAGTTTGTTGATGATTACGACCAAATAGTCAATCAGATCCGGGCTAGGATCAGTCCCCCCTGAGTCCTCACAGGGACGTGGCAAGAAAGAGTGATGGAGGGGTCGCTTCCTTCTTCGACTTTATGACTGGTTCTTGGACAGGGGATTCATGTCAACGCTGCACAAACAAGAAGAAGCCGTGAGAGGGCATGGACCGATTCCCCTGTAGTTCCTCAGACGGTCAAGTTAGTGAAACTCAAGTAGGGAAGGGGAAGGTTAGGAACCAATGTGGTTCTTGAAGTGGCAATGTGCATGCCCAAAGGGTCTACGTGAGCTCCTCTGTCTAGACGAAGAACTGTGTGTCTTTCTCTTTCGAGGGTGAGAGAGAGAGAGAGAGAGGGAGTGAGGTAACCTTAGCTTGAGCTTTTTTTAGACCTCCACCCCCCCCCCTTGAGGTTAGTAGTCTACATGTATATATCTCTCTCGTTGGGATAAAATAGGGCCCCCTAGCCCAGAAATAGGGAGGCAGTGATGAAGTACGGGCTAAGAGCCGAGTCATCCCTCGCTTTACAAATGTCGGCTGGCGACTGGAGGGGAAGTCACTTCGGCAATGGAGAGGGTGTCTCCACATTTTTCGGGAAGTGATTGAGAGCGTAGAAGGAGGCACACTGGCATGCTGAAACATCCCTCGCTTTACATGTGTCGGCTGGCGACTGGAGCGGAAGTCACTTCGGCATGGGAGAGGGTGTCTCCGTATTTTTTGGGAAGTGATTGAGAGCGTGACAGAAGGCACGTGGGCAGCTGACAAGTCATGGAGACCATCAGGCCAAAATCTGGATAAGGCTTGTCCGAGGTGAATTGAAATGCTGACATATGCTCCGGAGGAGAGGGTTGAGACAGGGGTCAAGTCCTCAACTTAGCTGAAAGCAGGGAATGTCCCTCAAGTTGTCTCCGAGAGTTGCCCAGTGAGTGGTCAAGTGCCTTAGGTGGGGTCATCCTCGACGATAGGGTCGACTAATCCCATTTTTCATGTCAGCATGAAAGAATGTCGACTTGATGAGTCGACAGAGTCGAGGCCTCTGTTGGGCTTGGGTCACTTAAGTGGGTTGATGTCATTTTGTCAGGACTCTTATTGTATCATTCTGCAAATACCCATATATTGGGTGAATAAACACCATAATAGAGTTCAAACCATAGAAATTCGTTTTTGAGAGAAAATCCTAGATTTCTACGTGTTAAAAGAGGATAGAGGGAAGGGAAATTACATTATAGATCTTTCATGATGAAATTCCGCCAAAAAACGAGCTTGAAATCTGACAACAAAGGGTTTGTGGGAGACGAATGACGGTTTTGAGGGGAGGGAGGCGGCTGAGAACGAAGGGTGTGTGGGGGAGAATATTTTGGGGGTTTATACAGGGGGACCCATAACAAATAGTCGGGGTTGGCAACCCCGACTATTCTGTTCCTTAGCCATTTTTCCAACTCGTCGACTGGGGGAGCTAAAAGGCTCTACTAAATGGTCGGGGTTGGGAGCCCCGTCCATTTCGAATTATGATTTCGAAACCCCG